AAACTTGGTGTCTATCTTGGGAATCAAGCGCAGAATCCTCTCAGCGCCATGAGATTTAATGTTCGCTACAGGAGGAAATAAATTCGCAAAGCGGGTAAAGTTTGCAGAAATTAGCGTTTGCCCAGAGCCGTATTAGAAGTTCGTTTTGGCCCAATTGACAACCAAGAGGGAATTGCTACCTTGGAAGGTCGGAATATTGCAAAAATAATAAATGTATTCGGGTACGCGAGAAATTCAAATTACAATAGATAGACTGTGAAAATAATTTTCACATGAGAATCCACAGAACCTAAATATGATTAACCAAGTTCCTACTGATCGAATCAAATTATCTAATTATGAACGTCAATTATTCGAGCGAAAAATCAATACTTAGTGGAGCGAATTAGTGAATTTCTATTGCAGGTACGACTCAATTATGCAAAAAGTTTGCTTATCCTGACAGTTTGGGCAAACGAGTATTTACTGCCACGAAAATCTCGTCTCCCTGAATTTTTTATTCATATTTACACTCCTATGAATTGTTTAATACCTCCGGTTATGCTTTCACTTAAAGCTGAATATGGAAGGAAAGCAAATTTTCATGAGATCACTGATCGTTTTGCGGAGGAATCTAAAGTTTTTAATTTACGATCATTGTATTAATAATTTTGACTGTGCTTTCATTTCCAAATGAATATGCAAGAAAGACGAATTTCGATAAGATCGTTTTGCAGAAATTAAGAATCGAAAGCAATCTCTTGTTGCTCTCTTGTTTACTTTTGCGTATATTCAACGTTGAAATTAGATTTCGTGCGTTCTCTTCGATGAAAGAAACTACAATTTTACCCGTTCGATGAATATTCAATTACCTGCGTTTCTCTTGTATTCAATTTGTTCGTGTCGGTGCCGCTTGAAAATCTAATTAAACCTGAATATTCCTTTCTGCTTTAAAAAAACGCGATGTTTACGAATTCGCCGCCCAATGATTCGTATTCTGTATAGATCGAGGCTCGAAAAAGTGAAGAACGAAAGCAAATGGTGCTTTGAGACTCCATGGGAGGTTTTGCTCCTTTTCGACGACGTTTACGTCGAATTAGTCCGAGATACCGATTGGTTCTGTGTCTCTCGAGCACTATCGATCCACCCTCCACGCATCTGGTGACTGCTTCTGATATTGACAGGGCGTAAAATTTACGTTCCACATATGTCCCGCATGATGTATCCATTATTACTCCGATAAACGAATCACGTTTAAAACACTAATGAAACGTAAACAATTCTGCACATTTAACTCGTCGGAAATGATAAATCTGGACATTCATCTTTGCAACTGTTCCAATGGGAAAACAATACTGGATCAAAGCAGTGGTAATGATCTTTGATCTAGCAAAAGAATATTTAAGATAATTGATTTCCAAAAATGGAGTCGAATCTGACCCTTAAAAACACATAAAATTTAACTGAATTTCCTGGATTTGATTGACATGTATTTTCTTGTTATTTTCAAATATCGAATGATTACTGAGACACTGGGCGAAGGGTTGAAAGTTGAACGATTTCGACGCAGAGACGGTTATTTTTATCCGAGGCGTATCCGGGGTCCTGGATGGCTTGTCACAGCGCAGGTGCATGGATGTTTTTAGGCACCCCTTACATTTGTTCACCCACACTCTGTACACGCGTGCGCGAGGAGAGCACGGCGCACGCCCACGCGGCTCACGCCTTCGCGGCCCGTTGCATCAGTCCCCGCTGTTACAGGCCCAATAAAGGAGCACTCACACGCGTGCACGGACGAAATGAGCCGCGATAATGGAGAAAAGAAACCCCGGAGGACCGCGTACAGCCACCTGGAAATAATTAAACCGCGCGTGCTCGGGCCTGGCGAGAAGTCGAGGAGAAATTCGGTCGGATTGCGTAAACGATCGAAAGTTTTCGTTTCTAACGAGATCGTTTCGGGAATCGACGTCGAGTTCACCGTACGGAGATCATTAATTATCGACGGGGCTAAACGTATAATATATCGAAACGATGCATTCGCGACAGTAACTGTATTAAATTTAATTTTTAATTTTAATTCTGTTTGATTCGAGCGATCTGATAAATATTTTGACACGTTCGCGTCGATGATGCATGAAGATTGCATAGGCACGTTAAAGTACTTCGAAACGTAACTGGCACGAGGTTACCTAATCAGTTTAGGATGAAATGTAGTTCTGTAAAAGTTTCTGTTGCAAGATAAGGCAGCTCGATTTAAGAAACAAACACGTTGTACGATGTAAAAGATTCGTAATTTATATATCGTTAGTCATCATTTAGCGATAGCTGGAAACGTTAAATAGACGTCTGTGTCTATATTGTAACAAGATAAAAGATAATACCGCGGGGCAAGTCAAAGGCTTTCCAAAAAAAAAGTACAGTTGCGAGAGTCGCCTTGGATCGAAGTTCTGGGAAAATAAAATTAAACCGATTATTGTTCACTCGGGATAAATAAATTCTACTTAAAATACAACTGTTGATTTACTTTATATCTGTAGACTCCATAGTTCATTATTGAAATTAAAGAAGCAATTCATTCTCGTCGATCAATTTATAAAATTGCACGAAGTAGCGTGTGCTTCAGGTGCTTGAGTGTGCTGTTCGGAATTTTATTAATAATTCCAGGAGAGCAACCATGCATTTAACGCGCACTCAATGAGTTCCATATTTCGGAATTACGGGAGGAAAAAGGAAAAAGGTTCTAAATATACAAATTTGCCGTTTCGTGCAGGGTAACGCTGGTGGATTCGAGTAAAGCTGACTCAGCGCACCTTATTGTTGGACGCAGCTAGATTTTGACCCACTCTGGCTTAAGAGTTCTCAAAGCCAAACTTACAGCAGCGAAAAAGCTGTGTTAACAGCTGCCATCCAGCGACGAATATAAAAAACGACAAATTTGCCCAACGCTCTTAAACTTTTGCGACGTATTAACAGAAATAATTGTTCTTTCTTGCCCTTAGGGGATTATCAATCTCCCATCTCACTTTGGATGACAGTGGTTTAGAAATTCACTCGGTGTCGATGTTGTATACAGAAATTAATTAACCTGTTAGCTCGGAGCATTAGACAATGAATCATCCTCTTTCACTCTTTCGATGATAGATCATCCGGGGCTACGTAACGTGATCGCGAAGGGGCACGAATTATACTATTTCTATACGTGCAAATTGACGCTGAGGAGAAGGCATAATAGCGTAATAGAAATGAATCGAATATTGTGCTGTGGTGTAACTGGTTATTATGGACGGTACAGAAGCGTAGGATCTTAACAGCAGTGGTGGTTAAAAGGTAGGAATTATTAGCTTCGTTCGACGAGCAACGAACAGTTTACTCGTTCCATTCAACGCAATACATTTTCAATAATCTCTTTTTACGAAATCCTGAAACTTAAATGAAAGATTTGGGACTCAAAAGTGGGTCGTGGCCCGCAAGTTGAGAGTCGCTGTTTTGCATAGAGACGATGACCAAATGTTTTATAATTAAAACAGACTGTCCGTTTAGCCGGTATACTGCGTTTGGAAGTCAACGGTACGCAAAGTAGTCGTCCGCGTAGGTCTAAATTGATTTTGTGTACAGCGGCACGGTCGAAAAGCAACGATAACGAGGGGGAATTGTAATCTATTCGATGCAGAGAGTTCCAAACGGCTGGTCCCGAGGCCTGTAATTAGGCGAGCGTATCCAATTTACTTGAAACACGTGTTCATTAACTTTCGCTGTAACTGATTTCGATAACGACGCTTTGTCGCTTCGCGAGACGAACGCCGCCGCCTCGCGTTATGTCACTGGACGCGGGACAGAGTCCGCGACGTTACGAGAGTCGGGTGAAATTTAATCGTCGTTAATGAAATTTCTTCTTCGTGAAATCGGCGGTTTCGCCGCGTAGATCGCCTCCATTAACAGAATGCTCGCCCCCGTTGCTTCATTGTATTATAATTATTGCGTCTCGGAGATCGCTTTGATCCGCGGCGTTAATTTCATTTTTGTTCCGACAGCGCGAAGGAAATTAACTTGCGAAAGACGTACGTACTAATGATCTAGACGCTCGTTTCTAATCCGTTGTTCGGAACTAAAATAGAAAACCACGACAGTTTTGCTCTTGGAGATTTCATTATGCCTGAAAATGGGTAATTATAGTCAAATCATTGAATTCTTTCGTTTAAAAAAGGATCCGATAATTATGTAAACGATCGACTTCCTAACAGAGATCATCGACTGTAAAATTCTGGGAACTGCCAATTAAAAGTTAACGAGACTGCGGCGAGAACATCGTTTTCGACTAATTTGGTTGAAATCGGGGTAGAGAACGGTAGTGGCGCGTTATCGTAACGGTGCTTTTTTTATCGCGGACGAAGAGACACGGGTGCTCTCGGGTACGGAACGATTGAAGATCGCGGCGTCTGAGGTCCACAGCTGGCCGGAAGTCGTTCATTTGACCGACAATATCTATGCAAAACGCACTTAAGTTCGCGTCGGGGCGAGCTCGCCTCGTACCTTGTTCGATTCGCGGGCGAGCGGAGGCACGATAACTGAAACGACATTTAATATCGGCGCGATTGTGCTCGTTGTTTTGCTCGTGGACGCTCGGGCGGTAATTGCGTCTCGTAATTTTTCATAACCTGCACACGCTCCCGGCGTCGCCTTCTTTGGCGGTGCATAATACCGACGCGGCCGACTGCAAAGCGCCGCCGCGATTCCTTCCACGCTGACTGCTGTAATATTTTCTCGTTAATACTTCTGTTCCGTTAGAAACAGGGGTCGGCAAACTTGCGCCGGCCAGGGAACGCTGGCGATCCGTCAGACGCCATTTTTCACGACACTTTGCACGATCTTCTTCCTCGACTCCATCTTTTCTCAAATAACGACTATTTGATATCAATCTCAATAGCAAGAGTTATTTTGCAAATATTCTATTAACCCTACTTCTCAATTTAAAATCACTTTCTTTATCTCCAAACTAAAACTCGTGTCTTTTTCTGTTTCAGTGACGAAGGATACATTTTTCTAAGAGGAGCCCAAAAATGGCAATGACGAATCAACTTACAACCACTTCAAGGTAATAATTTTACCTCAAGGTTTTAATTTTCAAACGTTCAATTGTCTCTCAACGTGTACGAAGCTTCAAACGAGCGCTCAGTTTCGAATCTGCGCGCGACGCGGCGCGAACAAGTGGCGCCAATTTCGAACTGTCGGTCCGGGCAGCGAAGAATAACGAAGCTCCCGTTCCTCGAATACTCGTGGTCCTATACTTAGCCGTCAAATCGACGATTTGCTGCGATGTTACGCGTGGTTCAGAGTTGACATTGTCGGACTTCCTATCAGTCGGGAATGTTTTTTGGTTTAAAAATATATGATCGGGCCGGTTACCTATAATTAACCGGCGGTCGATAGGCACGGAGAGTCACTCTGATTTCTTTTGACGCGAGAATAAAACGTCACCCAGCTTGGACGCGCGCGCGCGCGGTTAAATTTACGCGATCGTTTATTTACAACGCTTACTCGAACGCTCGTCATCGGCGTTGCGTTAGTATCGGAAGCAAACAGAGAACCGCGTCTTCTTTTTAATCGAGGACAAGCGTCTTGCGTCAATTGCAAACTTTTGAACTCTCTGACGAACATCGACAATGCGTTTCATCGATCAGTGAAAATTGTCAGGCGATTTCTTCACAACACAATTGTTTAAATTATAGACAGACCATGATACGATTTTTATTATTGCTGTTTTATGTTTTTATGTTTATATACTTGGTTGACACGACAGATTATGCTTCGTTAATCCCAAAAAACAAATTCTAATTAAATTCTAATTAAAGTATAGTGACAACTCAATTTTTCCGTCGACGTTGTTGCACGGTAGAGACCAATTTCTATTTATATCCGATTACCGAGTCGCGGGAGAAATAGAGAGATCAATTTCACGCTCAACTAAATCGCACGCTGGAACGTGTATCGTGTATCGCGAAATCCTTGAACGTGTGTCGTTCATTATGCCAGAATGAATGAGATCGGCGCTCGCGCGAACGAGTTCGATACAGATCGGAAGGCGAGAAAGATAAATTCCTAGGATCAAAGCGTCCGTCGAGTTTCCGCGACTTTTTTCGCGAATAAAAATTCCACCTTGAGCGTTTCACCGCGCGATAAAGGATCTGGCAACGTTTACCTGACAGCTGAAATTACAGAAATCTCTCTTCGAACGATTCGATCAGAGCCTCTTTTCCTCCCCCGCTGTGCAGATAATATTTCCATCGATTCGTCTCCGATGGATTTCTACTCAACTTTCTTTGGAAGAGAAATTCTATTTTACGATGTATACCGCAAATATTAGGACACTGAAATATTGTTAATCTTTGGATTATTGTACGGCCACATTTCGTAATTTTTGTTATAATTTCTTACGAGAGGATTTATTGAGTTTTTATTGCACGATATTTTGGAGTTAACTCGTAGATCATATTACGGAAGCGTGAATGGAAAAGTGTGTTAGTTTCCACGATTGGTTACAGTTTAAGAGAATTAACTGCCTCCCAGCGTGATAATCGGGAGGTCCCGGTTCTTCTGACTCTGCTACTCGCTCGTGTTTTCTGTCAACGGGCAAAAAGTATTTCCTGTTTTTGTACGCGGACCTCGGAGCCCGGAGGAGGAAGAGAGAGACGCGGAGTCTAAGAAGATGACAAAAATACGTTATGGTTTTGGCCGTCATCCGGTCCCAGCGCGATATTTTCGTCGTACGTTCATTCAGAAAAGCTGCAATGGCCGAGTACGTACGACCGCGCATAACTTCGTGCATTATATTTACTATACACAAACTTTACGGAGCTTTTGCTTGGAAATATTTATTTAAATGGAAAATCACCTATCTTCTTCAACTCCACGTTCACTTTGATCAATTGCATTAACTGGTTCTTCAAATTTTAACAATTTTTAGTAAATTGCACTCTTTTCATCCCTCCATGCATTTAACCAACTCCTGAGTTTTCTAACTGGTTCCCTAAATTTCAACAATTTTTAGTAAATTACACTCTTCTCATCCCTCCATTCATTTAACCAACTCCTGAGGTTTCTAACTGGTTTCCTAAATTTCAACAATCATTAGTAAATTACACTCTTCTCATATCTCCATTCATTTAACCAACTCTTGAGTTTTCTAACTGGTTCCCTAAATTTCAACAATTTTTAGTAAGTTACACTCTTCTCATCCCTCCATGCATTTAACCAACTTCTGAGTTTTCTAACTGGTTCCCAACATTTCAACAATCTTTAGTAAATTACACTCTTCTCATCCTTCCATGCATTGAACCAAGTGCTGAGTTTTCTAACCGGTTCCCTAAATTTCAACAATTTTTAGTAAATTACGCTCTTCTCATATCTCCATTCATTTAACCAACTCTTGAGTTTTCTAACTGGTTCCCTAAATTTCAACAGTTTTTAGTAAATTACACTCTTCTCATCCCTCCATTTATTGAACCAACTGCTGAGTTTTCTAACTGGTTCCCTAAATTTCAACAATTTTTAGTAAATTACACTCTTCTCATTCCTCCATGCATTTAACCAACTCCTGAGTTTTCTGAAGTATATTATAAAAGCTCAAACGAGTCTCCAATCATACTATTTCGAATTATCCAAGTGCCCAAATAAGTCGAGCCCATCCTTCCAAGCCAGTCACAAGAGAGTAACGTCACTTTGCCTCACCGTGGCGCCAATTTTCGCCCTTTCATTAAGAAACATTGACCGAACCAGTCAAAGCGCGGGAAGTGTAAATAAAATTTACGATTCACAGACTTCGAAGCGCCTCGTGGCCGCCTCCGCTCGAAAGTCTTGCGTCTGTTTGCTGGACAAACAGCGCCGCGTGCGACTAAAGGGGCGTTCGCGTTCACCGAATCGCGACGAATAATACCGGTACAATGCGGAGGAAAAAAAAAATACGAACGAACTCGAAACACGAAAAATACGGTTCGCGGATCGCGTGGCGAATTGAGGCCTCGAGTTTCGGGTAATTCCCGTGGACGTCGCGGGGGGAAAAATGGCGGCCAATTTGTCACGGGAGCGTTCGTCCCCGATGACTCATAGCGCCACACGATCGCGTGTTTGTACTTAACCCGCGACTTATCGTAAACCAGAGAGAAGGAGGGCCACGATGCGGTTAGGTGTATGATTTACACTCGACCGCGGAGGTTTAAGTACTTCCTTCGAGAATCTCGCCAGAGATCGTCCCGAGGGCCCCGGGCGTTTAATCTCCATCAGTACGCATCCTTCTCGTCATCTCCGCGGGGCTCTTTGACTGCACATGACTTTTTATCTTGCCCCTCCTGCCCCTCCACGTTTGGCCACCTACTATTTATACGCTGGTGAGCGTGGCGTGCTCGTTACTATCCTCCCCTCCCCCCTCTAGGCGACCAGGGTTAATATTACCCTCGGAGAACGGAGAAAAAAAGATGGGGGAAACGACTGGAACGTCGGAACAAGGTGGAATTAAACGCAGGGAAAACGGGAAATTAATTGTGGTTGTGTACCGTTCGTTCCTTCTTGCGTGATACTTACACGCACCCCCGTACTCGCGTTTTAATTATACTCCCGGTCAATTACGCGCACGAATTTCTGACGAGCTCGCTCGTGGGAGGATCTTGAAACGAGTTACCTTCGATACTGAGAAATTCATTGTATCGTTTATATAACGGAACCTTAGGAGATTGGCATTAATTTTAGAGGATTTATAACGCTCTGTGTAAGTGAAATTTATCCCTTAAGTGGATTCTTAATTTCAATTCAATTATTTTTGGTAAATGGAAATCAACTTTGTTTCAGAATAATGATCTAATGAAGGATTACATAAATTTTCAAATAATTACATTGACATACAGGGAAAAATTGTAATGAGAGATTCTAGAGGCCAAAATAGGACGAAAATCAAGAATACCAATTTGTTGATGGAGGCTTCTTTAAAAAGTTATTAACGTTTCAAGTTCCGTTCGTACTGAATTTTTTTCTCGAAAATGCGCAGGATTTCAGGGGTACGTATAATGACAAAAATTGACTGTAATCGACCCCTGTAATTGAAAATAATTTTTTTAGAACGATTTGAAAAATTTTAATTTCACCGAAAAATGTAGGCACCTACTCGAATTTTTTTCTCGAAAACGCGTAAGATTTCGAGGGTATGTCTGTTGACCGAAAACGATTGTAATTTATCTCTGAAACTGAAAATAATTTTTCCAGAACGATTTGAAATTTTTTTTTTCGTCGAAAATTTAGGCACCTACTCGAATTTTTTTCTCGTAAATGAGTAGGATTTCGGGGGTAGGTGTGTTTACCAAAAATGACTGTAATTGATCCCCGCAACCAAAAATAATTTTTTCAGAATGATTTGAAATTTTTTAATTTAATTTTTTAATAACTTTTTAACGAAGCCTCAGTCAAGAAATTGACTTATTTTGACCTCTAGAATCTCCCATTAAAATTTTTCCCAGGGGTGGCTGAACACCCTGTATACTGAACAATTATTCGTTCAAACTTGCAGGGGACCCAATAATCCACTTAAGAGTTAAGTGCCGCAGGATTCAGATAGAAAAATCGAGTGTTTTAATTAGGAATTTAGAGTTGTATCGCTGGTGTGCACATCTTGTAGAACATCCTGTATAATCGCGTGTGTCCCCGTAGATAGTCGTTACATCCAATACCATTCGGTCGATTCGAACCATCGACGTTTAACGAGATAATTTTCCGCCGATAACGAGCAAACGAGGATGAGAGTGACCGCGCAAGGACATTATCCCCGCAAGGACGACTAAAAACGTTCGTCGATAGATGTTACCTCTCCGCCACGCGAAAATTGGTATTTCACGTCGACGGTCCTCGAGCGTAAAATGGACGTCCTGTAACCAACGCGACCGGACACCGTACGCGAGTTTCACAATTTTATATCGTTCGAGGCGGTATATTCGCGAGACGAGAAATAATTTTTTTCGACGTCATTCGGCCACACGGCGACCGGTCTCGACTTCAAACAAATATGTTTTTGCCCTCCGGAATCAAACGCGACGAGAAACGCGGCGGAGAATT